GTAACTGAGATGTGATTAAGATGATGGGAATCACTTCTTGACACTAGAATGCTTCTTATTTCCAAAATTAGGGACACAAATATTTCTTAGTGCTTCTACATTTCGAGGACGCTCCAATTCGATTGGCTTAAAGACCGATTCATATAACTCAGTTTATAACTCCTTGAAAAATTGGTTGCGGGAAGCTTCTGTGGAAGCACGCAAATATCGTGTCTTTTGTTATGGAGTTCTTTCAACCTTCCCTTGGGATATTAACTTCGAAGATCTTCTTTGATCAGTACCACCGCTGTCAACATTGAAAGCTTATCACTTTTAAATCGCGAACATTACTGATTTATGTAATGTGTACATCAGTGAGTTTAAAGTATGGACTTTCTCTGTGTGTTTTTAAGAGGGTGTCTTCATCATCATATTTTATTTGCCTTATTTACACAATACAAAAATTTATTTACAGCGGTGAAAGCTAGAAGGTGAGGAGACCCAGGAAGCCACCGGGCTTATGGGAGAGCCATCTCACTTACATTAATAAATAAAGAATAAAGTAAAGAAAAAGTGCTGCGAATGTGGGGCTAGGCCAATTCAGTGATTATTTAAGTAAAAACTCTTGCATTTTCGTCTTAAAGCTAAGAAGGTTTGACGAACGAGTGACTGAAACAGGAAGAGAGTCCCAAATTTTAGGACCTAGGTAGATAATTGTAAATTGCTTGAGATTTGTACGGCACAAATGCCCTCGATAATAACTGTCTGTTCTGGTACCATAGTTGTGAATTTGGCTATTCGTTACAAAAAGATTGAGAAGCAATGGAGGCAATAAGTTATTTTCATAATAACACATAAATTTGGCGATTTCAAACGTATTAACTCGGAAAATATCTAAAAATTCCTAGTTTGGAGAATAAAGGAGCGGAATGGGCTCGATAGTCTGAGTTGGTAATAGCCCGCACAGCTCGCTTTTGCAAATAAAAAATTGTGTTTAAGTTAGATACGTGTGTGGACGACCAGGTGCAGTTACAACAGACGATATAAGGATAAATTAAGGTATAGTACAAAATGAATTTGGTTGTAGAGGATAGGAAAAAGTGAGACCCGAATATGATACCTATTGATTTAGCGATTTGTTTTTATACATAGACTACACGTAGCTGATATGGTGTTTCCAGGTGAGATTATCATCAATATTGACCCCA